GTAGCAAGCGAGTGGAAATAGCTACTTATGGAATCAGTCTATCATTCATTCTTTATTTTTTTTCATCTTATGTTAACCTTGGTGTAAAGCAACACAGCATTACGAGATAATAAACTGAAAGACTGAAAGACTGAAAGGCCTACCGTCCACACTAATCCGGATAAATTGTCCACCGAAAACGGAACTTTTCGAAAACGCTCTTCAAAGTGGATAAATTTGAAAACGCCGGCTTTGCGTTTTAGTGTGGACGGAAAACATTTTGAAAACGGAACTTTTAGAAAACGCTGACGTCACGATAATCATGTGATTTCTCTGCCCGAGTCTTCCTCGAACATAAATCCAAAATGGCGGCCGACATGGTGATTGCCATGTTGCTTTCGTTAATATCGTCATTGAGTGCTTGTTTAGTGTTGAATATCGCGCTCTTTAATACTTTAGCTTCTTCGGCTGATGGGTACGGCTCTTTGTATTTTTCTAGGATTTCTTGATACTTATTTTGGCAAGATTCCCAGTCGATATTTTCCATCGATTTTGAAGCTTTGAACTCAATTGCTAAGTTCAACAATAATTCCACCTCGTCATCAGACCACGAAAAGTAGTCACTTTTGTTGTTTTCGTCAGATTTCTTCTTCTTTGGGCCGGATTTCGAAATTTTCGGAGCTGTTATTTTTTAATACTTCCAGTCCGTTCAAAGATGGCGGGAAGAAGAAGCGGGAAGCGTCGCGGGAAGCCAAATTTATCGAGGGCTCAATTAGGCCCTTATCATGCGCATGCTCAAGAGTGCGTTGAAGCGTTTCTGCCGCCGGTGATCGTTGTAGTGTGGACGAAAAACATTTTAGCCGTTTTCCAGTGTGGACGGAAAACTTTTGTTGCGTTTTCAAAGTAAAAGTTGCGTTTTCAAATTTATCCGGCATAGTGTGGACGGGGCCTAAAATGAATACGATACACCATAACTGATCATAACTCTAGCCCTCGATAAGATACACAATGTAAATGCGATACACAATAAAACGAATTTGCTGTCACTATGTAAAAACAGGAATCAGAAATTAATCGACCAAAACAAACAAAACGCCGAAACGTCGGCTTTCCGCCGCCATCGATAAGATACAAAAATACTAGTAAAACCTCAATATAAATCAAACCTTCGATCGATACGCAAAGAATCAAGCGTTCGATAAGATACGCAATAAATCAAACCTTCTATCGATACGCAAAGAATTAAGCGCTCGAGCGTTCGATAAGATACGCAAAGAATCAAGTATTCGATAAGATACGCAAAGAATCAAGCGTTCGATAAGATACACAAAGAATCAAGTCTTCTATCGATACGCAAAGAATCAAGCGTTCGATAAGATACACAAAGAATCAAGTCTTCTATCGATACGCAAAGAATCAAACGTTCGAAAGAATCAAGCGTTCGAGCGTTCGATAAGATACACAAAGAATCAAGTCGTCGATAAGATACGCAAAGAATCAAGCGTTCGATAAGATACGCAATAAATCAAACCTTCTATCGATACGCAAAGAATCAAGCGTTCGAAAGAATCAAGCGTTCGATAAGATACGCAAAGAATCAAGTCTTCGATAAGATACGCAAAGAATCAAGTCTTCGATAAGATACACAAAGAATCAAGTCTTCGATAAGATACACAAAGAATCAAGTCTTCGATAAGATACGCAAAGAATCAAGTCTTCAGGAGTCTTCGATAAGATACACAAATAAAACCTTCGATACGCGATAAATCAAACCTTCGATCGATACGCAAAGAATTAATCAAGCGTTCGATAAGATACGCAAAGAATCAAACGTTCGATAAAATACATGTACGTAATAAATCAAGCCTTCGATCAATACGATACGAATCAAGCCCTTCGATGTCATACGCACATCAAACCTTCGATGGTCTTCGATGCGAACGCTTATCTTCAGTCATTGACACAACGCGTTACTGTGTACTTACAGTTTTCCGACGGCCTCTCGCGAGAAACGAGACTCGCCTTGCAGGAAACGAGACTCGCCTCGCAGGAAACGAGACGCGTCTCGCGAGAAACGAGACGCGTCTCGCGCGTAGGTGGTAACTTACTTTTGAGCGGTACTGTACATGTACATATCATGATAAACCAGCAGGGTATACAATGATCTACTGGGCAGAGAAACTCGTGTAGTTTTTGACAAATTTTGGTAGACAATTCTTCTTCACCAATTAAAAAGTAGCCCTTTGTAGCACAAAGACTGAAGTCAGCTATGTGTTTTGCTTACCTGAAATCTGAACTCGTTCTCATTCTTGGGTATGTTCATGACACCTGTGTCTGTAATGCTCCCTGCAAGAGTCATCCATGATTGTGCTGTGGTGGTGCTACCACCTAACTGCTTCCCGGTCTTGATCACCACCTTGTATGTAATGGCTGTGACAATACACATAAAAGATATTACTTAATGCCATAAGAAATACACACGATAATAAAAACTTGAATTCCAAGTTCTTTGTCTTTATCATTTTGTCATCGAGTGAGAATGGTCAGCTACACAGGCTAAGACGAAGGTTGTCAATGGATTTCAGAGGGTTTAGAAAGATTACTTCGCAAGGGAGGAGTTCAAACTAAGAACGTTAGAGCTGAGTGTCGTAAAACTGAAAACAGAGCAATCGCAATGGCCAATTATGACAAACGTAAACAACACAATGAACCAATGAGAACTTGAAGCAAATATACGTAACCGGTGCCAAGCGTGAGAAACCCCGCGTGACCAAGTCGTGATTGGTTTTGGTTTTGCATCTGATTGGTTGAGTAGGTGGCGCGTGTTTTTTAAACCAATCATAGAATGTAGTAAAGCAAAACCAACACTCAATTGAAAACCGCTTTAATTGTTTTAGTAAAAATCATAACAATTGTCTAGTATTAACTCTAAATCTTCTTCTGAAACTTCGGAGAAACGAGAAGAAACCGCAATTTTGTAGACGACCTCCAGCCACTGCACACTAATGGCTGATAGTGTACGAGTAGCTCAGCCAATCAGATTGTCTCATTTGCATTAGTATACTAGTAGATTTTTACTAATGTTCAATATAATGTTGGGAAACCTCAGTCTTCTTGTATCAGATTGTAAGCATACATGTACATAGTCAGGATTCAATGCATCTACACTGTACTCTAAAATGCTTTATTTATCCTTTTAATATTTCCCAATGTTGCATAAAATGAAAACCCATCAAACACCGTTGAATGCAGTAAGTTTCTATTCTACTTTTAATAGAAGCAAATTTCAATCCCTTTAGACCTGTGTGGCATTGTTGTTTTTTTTACCTTGTTTACTTTAGGACACAAGGTAGAACATTACATGAAGTACTGACCTGTGTTCTGAAAACCATTTGTAAAACAAAAGAAGTCAACAGCAGTGAGTGAGAGAAGATGATACAAGAACTGCTCCTTTTCCTCTTCTGTCCGTAGGAAGGCATACTCCTTATATCTATCCCTGTCATAAAAACAGAGGATGGTTACATGCTATTGAAGTCTACTGCTCTAACACATTAAAATATGTGTTTTATTATTTTAGAGTAGACGGTCCCTACTTTGTTCAATGATACTTATAGTGCGACTACTTAGAGTGCGAGCAGTCAGTCTAGTTTGGGTCGCAATTCTCCCCTGCGTGAAACCCAAAGAAGAGAGCCTGCTCGCATAACCGGTGCCACTTGGACAATAAAAACCGGTTACATAAGTCACACTGTAAAGGTAAAAAGAGACTGCTCACAGACTATATTTAGAATGTTTTTTGAGTAATCTATGAAAGGTAACTATGTTATTGATATTGATTTTGAACAACATGCTGCAACAATCAGAAGAAGGGAAACCACAATTCTCAGAGGGTTTCTTCTTCCCGCCCCCCTCTGACGCAGTCAGAGAAGAAGAAACACCCTAAGAACGAGATTGAGAGGGAAGGTAATCATCATCGCTCTTCACACCAGTAGGCGCATAATAAGGCCGCAACATTCTGCTTCCACGCCATCCTGTCTCTGGCTACTGCTCTCGCAGTGCCCCAGTCGTTTCATCCTGCCTGTCGTCTCTCTACTTAAGGTACAATCAGTCAATCCACAGGTTGAGTGTTTGCTTCGAGTTCTGATTGGTTTATTAAGATATTTACGGCCATAGTGACCGGCTCTGTAATAAAGTGAGTAACTTTTTCCTCACCTGAGAAGAGTTGTATCTGACAGAAGTTGCTTGAGGTGTTTGGAGAGCACTCTCTTCTCTATGGCAAGTCTTGAAGGTGAAATGAAACAGAAATAAAGCTACGATTATTGAGATGTCAGAAAAGTGTTTCAATATTATAGTTACATGTATTAAAGCTTAATGGATAAAATGGCTCACAGTTTTGTACCCAGGCCACACAACTCACCTGATCCATGCTCGTGCATGTCCTATATCTGTCTTGATTTCAGTCATACTCTGCACATGACTAATAAAAAAATCTTAGTTACCAAGAAGGTTCATCACACTCCAAGCTACATACACAGTTTAATACTAACACATAATACACACAAGCTCAGAAGCTAGTGTCTGTACTGACATGACCAGTGTTCCAGATAAGAGAGGGGTCTCAGGTCAAAACCCGACAAGGTCGGCAACCTGACCCAACAAATTAATGGAAAACTTCTAAGGATTTTGTGAGGTCCATATCTATTGACCCTTTGTAAATCATCACTGACACCTTGCCTTTAAAACTTATCTGGAACCCTGTGTGACAAGAACTACATTGTATTGTTACTCCCTTGGATGGGATGCTAGTCCATCAAAGGTTACCCCCTACAAAAGGTTTAAAAAGTCTGACTACAAGCCTCCCCTCCAGGAAACCAGAGTTAAGCCACCTATGCTAGACCATCGCAGGTAACCAACAGCATTTTTTCTGGTTGACCTGAAAATTCATCGGTACTCATTAATTTTATACTTCTGGGTGGAGAGAAGCACTGTCAGAGTAAAGTGCCTTGCCCAAGAACACAACACAGTGACCCGAGCCAGTGCTCAAGCCTGGATCACTCGATCCAGAGTCCAACACCCTAACCATTAGGCCACTGCATCTTCCACTAGCCTACATGACTTTATTCGTCAGGTTGGCCAAACGACATTGTTATTTGCCTATGCTCCAATCCAAGATGAGTAGCCCCCTGCTGACAGATTGCCTTAATCTGACAGCTAAATCTAAATACTCCACATTGATCCCTGTTATAAAGGGTATACCTCATGTCAGCTAACACAGAGCTGACGGTGGGCTGCTGTTGAGATAGCTGAAGGGACTGCAGCATGTTTGCGATGTCAGGTGATGTGCATCGCCTTCTCAATTGACTCTGTTTGTCTGTTTCCTTGGCAGCTGAAAAACCAAAACCAACCAGAAATTAAATTACACTTCAGTCAAACTTCTGATGCATTCACCCTACATTGTATTATCACATTGTCTATTATCAATGAAGCTGCTAAATTACAGGTATAAACTGGTGTTTATGCTATGAAATATAGCAGTAATGAGCTGTTACTGTGAATCATACCTGCCAGGGGTGAGAGACTGTTTGTATCCTGACTAAATGAAGGAAGTTCTTCAACAGTCTCTTCGCATTCAAGCTGGAAAGCTAACAAGTGAGACCACACAGCTGATTTACCCTAAAAGGTAACACAACACCAGGCATGTCTCATCAGCAATATTATACACAAAATATAATATATTATACAGCAATAAACAAAGGTCAAGTGTGTTCCAATCCTAAGTATCAGAGGGCTTATGGGTGCTAACGCTCAACTCTGGTTTCCATGGCATGAAGCAACTAGTTAGGAGTATAATAACTTTTTTAATTTACGTTTTTTTAATTCCTTGACAAACGACACTAAAACAAATAGTAAAACAGATAAGAACATTACAGAATAGCAGTAAGTCCATTGTAGGTTTACCCCCAGCATTTTGTCAGGTAAAGGTACATGTAGGTAACTGGCCCACACTTCCGGAGCTTATCTGGTTTCCATAGCATGAAGCCGACTAGAAGTATTGCTACTCCCCCTGGGTGGGATGCTAGTCCAACACCAGGTTACCTCCAGCATTTGTAAGGTTGCCCTAATAGTTCACCAGTACCCATTTATACTCCTGGGTGGAGAGAGGCACTGGACACAACACAGTGACCCTCGCCAGGGCTTGAATCCAGAACGCTTGATCTGAAGTCCAGAGTGTTAACCATTAGGCCACCACGTCCCCCACGCCCTAACGGTTGCCGGTACCTATTTATACTCCTGGAGGAGAGAGGCACTGTGAGAGTATAGTGTCTTGCCCAAGAACACAACACAAGGACCCCAGCCAGGACTCAAACCCAGATTGCTCGATCCGGAGGCCATATACGCTATTCAAACCATTAAGCCTCTGTGTCTCCCACTAGATAGTAATACTGATCAGTAAACTGTATAACACATACACTATACCTCTCTTGTCTGCAATCCATGGCTCCAAACCCTTTCCAGCAGATCACACAAGCTGGCTATCAGTGTGTTCTCCTCCACTCCTGACACATTAGCATCAGAGTGTCCAAGATCCACTGCTTCCTGTCCCATCTTCTGCACCAGGATTTTCTTTGTCTGGTTCAAGGGAAAATAAGGTCTTGCTCATAAGGACAGTGACCCACACAGGCAGGCTCCAGCTTCTGTAGCATGAGGTGACTAGGAGTATTTTGCTACTACCCAGTGGACTAGCACCCCATCCAGGGGGTAGCAATAGTCACCTCATGCTACAATAAACGGGTCGCAGTTAAGCACCAGCTGTGAGGGTCATTTGGCGCATGAGCCCAGGATGCCTTTTAGTTTTTTGCATATACCAGTTTGTATAAGCAGGCATGCAGATCGCCTACTTTGGCACATAATTTTGAAACCCTTGGTGTATCTTCAGTGTGGGATGTACATGGAATGCACCGTGAAAAAGAGCAGATATAACTATATATACCCAGCTCCACTTATTAATAACATTCCTGGTAGAAGTTTTTCTTTTTGACATATTTTTGTCCAATAGACAAAACAGACATTTGTTTTAGGTGGGGTTCAGAGCCACCTTAAATTTACAAACAAAATAAGGTGACTCTGAACCCCATGCATCTACAGAAAAACTTTCACCAAGTATTGTTTAAGATATTAGCCTTGAAAATGTCACAAATATGGTGCATATGACTACTTTTGATGTTGCCATGGCAGTGTGCGGAAGGTCATAGCTTCAACTCCTGCTGGGAGAACTCGGAATTCTTTTTCCGAGTAGTTTGTGTCACTGACTGAATAGTATATTTCTCTTGTTTTACCTTCTGCCTACATTCCTTGAGCAGTTTCTGAATGAAACCAGTCTGTGTGGATTCCAGTGCCATGTCGCCAAACTGAGAACTTTTGGCTTTTGTCTCCTGCATGTATTTCTAAAAAAAATAGAGGGAAAACAGTTTTTACAACTTCTTTTCACAAATCAATAAATTGTTAGTCTTGTAGAATACCCGACATTGAATTTTTAAGTGTAAGTTTAATTTGAGAAAATACTCTGTAAGAGACTGTATGATTGTGTTGATATCTGAAACCCACCAATAGCCCTTATGATAAAGGTAAAGGCCAAAAGCACATGTTTTGGGGGAACATTTTCCAAGTATTCACTGAAAAACCTAGTGGACATGTTGTATACAAAATAATGGCACTGACATGGATAATAGAAAAGATGACAGAAATACAAAATTTACACCAGCCAAAGCTGGGATTGTTAAGATCACATTTGCAAGAGTAACAAATTAATTACCAACTCCGCTACTAACTGTATGTCAAATAAGCTTATCTACATGTTAACAAATTGACGTCAGTTTTTTATGCGTCTGTCCTATTATTGATCATGAATTTCGTCATAACATTGTCAGCGAAGCTGAGTGGATCCGCAGACTACTTTGACAATGTTATGACGAGACGAAATTCATGATCAATAACAGGACAGACGCATTAAAAACTGACGTCCATTTGTTTTTTACAATAACAACAGGCCAAAACGATCAAGCGTAGACTTCAGATGAGGGGAAAACAGGTAAAAGTGAACTGAAAACGATTCTGCGAATCACAGCGTCATGAACTTCAAACTACATACAATAACTCGATAAGAAGTTTCTTAGACAGATTTTCTGAAACTAACCTTTATTCTATTTGGAAATTCTTGTAAACCCGCTGAAATTTTCGCAATTTCAGTCCATTCTTATCAGTTGTTTTGAAGTTACACGCGGTAAAATAAAACGGATTCCATAATTTCCATTCCAGTCAACTTCAACGTCAAACTACAACAAATACTGTTCTCTTTCGCTTTAACCGTTGAATTAATTCTCAGTATGCCGATTGAAAAGCAACCTGTGAACGACTTTTCATGATTTACGCCTCAAAGAACTCCTGTTCAGATGTACTTTTTTCCACTTTACCGAACTGACAACGCTGCCATTTTGGCGAAATTTTGAAGCCTTTCCACGCGTGATTACGTCATTCATGTGTCTGTCCTCTTATTGACAATAAAAATTAGCCAATGAGTGCGCGAGAATTTTGACAGTTATTGTAAAATACCTACTAGACATGTTTTCACCATTAATTACATAATATAGTCCAGGCCATGTAGCCTCAAGATTTTAAGGGCTTTGTACATGTGTATTTTGAGGTACAAGTATTTTATTAGCAGTTAGAATCAGAAAAGCTAACAACACAAACTCAGGCTAAATCAAATTTGTCATATACCTTAAGGCTTGATGCCAGCTTATCTCTCATCTTCTTCCCATCCTAAAATGTCAAATGAATGTGGCAAATGTAAATGCCCACCTTTCAAATGCTCTACTCTCTGATACATATGAGTCTTTAAATAACACCAACATTGGCCCAAAATATGGCTCCAGTAACACTGAAATGAATTTTCACTTTGGAATATATTCCTCAGACATGTAACTTGGCCAATAAACCCAATATCAGGTCAACATAAATGACCTAATGTGATATGATATTGAGAATTCTTGTATTAAGTATCAACACACCTGGTATCAATATCAAGTCCTGTAACGCCATCAACATGGATATACAAGACTTAGTGCATACATGTAGCCACAAGTAAAATTCAGTTTATTTAACCCTTTCACTCCCAAGAATACTAAACTGAGGTAAAATATGAATTTCATTTTGAAAAAAATTGTCACAAATAAACAGCACCTCTTGAACATACTGCTCAAAAGCTTTTAATTGAATGGTCACACACTGGGTTTCATCCACAGACTCAAAAGGTACATTTTATTTACTTGAGGTTTGACTCTGGGGGTGAAAGGGTTAGTGTTCATGGATTCAAAAAAATGAAATTTAAATGTATCTATCTATCTATCTGAGGGTGCTATAAAGACCTTTCAATTGAAATATTTTAACTTATTTTATTTGTAAATGAAAATATAATATGGTGTGACTGTCATTGAAGCAAGATTTTTCTTCATCAAATTCTTGAAATATTTCTGTGTAATAAAGATACTGAGAGTTGAGAGATGTGGGCCAAATGAGAGAAAACTCTCGATTACTCTCCAGAAAATTTTGAGCAGGTTCAAATAAGTTCAAAATATGAGAGTTATGGCCAAAGCAAGAGTTTGAACTCTCAACAACTCTTGTTCTTGTTCGGCCCAGGCTTATTATATATCTGTAAACCATTGATGAAGGTGTATTTAACTTTGTTCTAGCAGTAACTAGTACATGTAGAATGTAGGTACATGTAGAACTAAATGTTTCAAACCTGAGTTGTATTAAGAAAAATATGTTCAGACTGCTGTTGTTGACGACTCTTTTTTCTCCATTTCACTTTGGAATGATGACCACTAATAAAATTAAAAATACCATAAAATTAATTTATATTATTTAATGTACATATACCTGTAATTATTAATCAATTATGTACCCTGATGCAAACGTAATAGTGATCATGCAAGTCTGGTAGAACTCCAAAGTGAACTTCAGTCGGGGATCAAGTGCCGTTTTTGGCAAATCTTTGTTGAAGCAATTATCCAATCAAGAAACAGCACGAGCACTGT